TATATATATATATATATATACTAGGATAAACTGCGGATGGTTTTAAACAAACAGCATATTATTAATAATTCATTGTTAGTAACAGAGAATTATCCATATAATTTCTATTAATTTTGTGACTCATCTAGCTTACTTTTTTTTATTCTATTTCTGATAATGTGCGGATTATGTATATTGTTATTAGAAGTGCTAGTGTCGCAGTTGACAATTCCGGTTCATATTCCTTTGTAATCTAATCTCGCGTTGTTCGTTTTTGAATGACCATTGAATGTGATAGTTGATTCGTCCATCATGCAAAGTGTAAAATCCTAAGAATATTTGGAAAACACGAAGAGAAAGAAGTTATTAAGAAGCATGTATAAAAAAAATCATAACTTTTGTTCCTGGTATCTAGATTATTTTTATCTTAAATATCATCTTGTATAAATTCCTCTTGATTTTACTTGTTCGTAACTTATTTTTGTTCTTGTAGGCTTCTCCCAGAATCTCCTCGATTTCTCTTGATCCATTGCCGGTACCAAGAGGCTGAAAAGGAGCTGAAAAAGGCCATGACTATGAACAAGAAGGATATGTTAACACTTGATTTTAAGTTTGAGCAACTTTGTGATCTGGTGCAGAAGGTAACGCTAGTAGTTGTGTTCTTAGAACTTGAATCAGTTCTATTAGTGGAAATTATCATCCATTCATACGCAGTACTTAGAAGTAATGTCTTCCAGCTTATCAAAAATGATTTAGGTATATATTGGATAAATACCAAGAGGATTTAGGTACATGTTGGATAAATACCAAGAGGATTTAGGTACATGTTGGATAAATACCAAGAGGATTTAGGTACATGTTGGATAAATACCAAGAGGATTTAGGTACATGTTGGATAAATACCAAGAGGATTTAGGTACACGCTGGATAAATAACAAGAGGATTTAGGTACACGCTGGATAAATAACAAGAGGATTTAGGTACACGCTGGATAAATACCAAGAAAATATACTTCAGTATTTTTTTTCCAGTTAAATGAAGTTTTTATAACAACAAAAACATCGCAGTTTCTTTAATGCGAATATTTGTTGATTAAAACAGTTTTTTGATGATGAGTAATGAACTTGATCCACCTGCAGCAGTTTGACAAACGCTTCAAGCTGCTAACACAGATGTTTATGAGGTTATTGCTTAAAACTGCTAACACAGATGTTTATGAGGTTATTGCTTAAAACTGCTAACACAGATGTTTATGAGGTTATTGCTTAAAACTGCCAACGCGGATGTTTATGAGGTTATTGCTTAAAACTGCCAACGCGGATGTTTATGAGGTTATTGCTTAAAACTGCCAACGCTGATGTTTATGAGGTTATTGCTTAAAACTGCCAACGCGGATGTTTATGAGGTTATTGTTTAAAATCGCCAACGCGGATGTTTATGAGCTCATTCT